GTGGTTGAATCAGACCACATCGCTCACTGGAAAGTCCCCTGCAGGGGGATCTTTGGTGGCTGTGCGGAGGGGGTCATATTTGCTCATTGTTAGGCGAGGGAGGTCGTATTTGCAAAATTTTTCCCGGTTGTTGACTTTTTCCGCTTCACATGCTGTGTACCCCTCTTGGTGGCTCAGTTGAAGCAGTATAGGTTGCTGACGCCCCCCCCCCCCTCCTCCCCTCGACAGTATAATTTTTAACAAAAGCCACAAATTTTTTGGAAGCTCTGGGAAAGTGGTAGATAGGTTGGGGAAGGGAAGAGGGTCGTTCCCGAGAAGCGAATTAGCGGGTCGTATTTTCCGAACATTTTCCCCGGTGGAAGGACGTGCCCTGGGTTTAACTTAGTGAGTGTCGGTGACGGCCCTCCCCCAGTTTTTAAGTTTTTTCCAAATGAAAACTGGGAAAGGTGGTGAGAAGCTGAGAAAAATTCAGGAATTTGATGGGCAAGGGGGAGGGAGTGGAAGCAGAGGAGAAATTTTGGAGAGGCATACCGACGACACCCCCATTTTACACACCAAGATGTCGTACCCTTAGCGTTGCAAATGAGCTTATGTATCCTACATTCGCAACAGGACCCGATCCACTGAACGTAGTCGCGCTTCACAATTAGGCGCGTGGACTCTCTTCGCGTCTGTGTCTCTCGCTTTGACCAGCTCTCTCTCTGTACCTGTGTGGAACAGAACTCTTCTAGCGCGATATCCCTAAATGAAGCGTTCGCACGTCCGACTCTCCTGTTCCAAAGGGGGTTTCCCACTCTGGTTCTAGGATTGCGATCGACTGTGGGGTCCACGCTTCTTGAAACTTTTGTCTACTCTATTGTTCGAAAAATCACTTGATCAATTAGCAGCATCCTTGCGCGTTCATTATTACTTTCCAGTGAGTCTCTAAATCATATTCCTAAAGAATTTATATTCTTAGTGAAACGAAACCGTTACCCTTCATGGAAATATTTATTATCTTTGTAGTTTTTCGTTACATCATCAAAGAAGCGATCTTTGTATACGGGCCTCAGAAGTTCCCTCATATAACCCTGAAACTCACAACACTTATTGATATTTCTCTCTTCAACCATAAATTCAGGGTGCAATCCCACGGCCTTTTTCTGAGCGAGGCCATGCAGGCACCCCTGCTCGTCTGTATCCTCCCATCGGGTAG